AGCAATGCCAAGTTTCGGCCGCAACAATGTTTCGCGAACGCTTGGAAAATAAATGAAAATACTGAACATCGACCAAACGCGTTTATGGGAAGTAATGGAAAAAAAAGAACGAATTTTACCGGTACGTTTGTGACCTAATTCCCATTTAACATTTTAAAGTGCCACGACTCTTTTAACTCCATTACAAGAACGGTATTTAATTAACGGGGAAAAAATGTTGAATAGTTTCGCCGTAGTTAGCCCTGAACTTTCCAACGTAGACCGAGAGATGTAAGAACCGCGCGCAAGTCGGTCGACTCTTAAAATGTCCACGGACCGAACATTTGAAAGAACTTTATAAATGCTTTAGCGATTGTACTCTCGCACTCTGTGTCGTGGTGTTGTACACCTTGAATTTTACACGTAAAACTGCATGTCCGTGTCTTTTAACAATCGGAAAACCACACCGATGTAAAATTTTACAAAAACCGATATAAAAGTGCGCGAATCAAAATTTCCCTTTTACCTCTTTTTTGCCGACGTTTTTCGGAATATACAGCTGGCTAGAAAATGTGTCGCTCTCTACACCAGTATGCAACTGTGCAGATGAGAAGTAACTTTACGTCACATCTGTTTTGAAGACTTTTCATACAAAAATATAATGTAAGTGTTTATACATTTTTGCTTCCTGATCTTGATACATAAACAAGTAACTGAAGTTTAATCTTGCAAGAGATCATTAAACACTGATGTTGAATGCATTCTGCACTCTTTTTTTTTAACTAATTGGATGTTCGTAAAATATTTACATTATTCTCCATTTGGAGCGCGTCGTGATTGCGAAAATACGCGGAATTAGCGGATGATTCGTCGAGAAAAGTTACCGCCACCATGCTATTCTTCTTCCATTTTAACCAATCAATTTCCTTCGTCGTCTCGCTCCCGCCCTTCCTATCCGGCCGAGTCAATTTAATTCTGATTAATTACGTTTTAATTAATACAAACGCGTTTTCCGAATCTTAGGCCGAGTCTGCGGGCTGGGGCAGGGGCTTGCAAACGGTACGGCTTCTTTTTGTATTTACTTCTCCGCTTTTACCTTGAATGAAATCGAGGCAGGGGGGTTGTCTCGGAAATCCGAATGAGAAGACGAGAGTGACTCTTCAATCCGGAATCGGGTTTTTCCTGCCATAGCGGATTAATGGAAAATAATGGCCGGCAACGCAGAATTGCGGTCGCGGAATCTCGTTATTTCCCTGTCGGAAACCCGTCGTTCATATTTATTTGTGACAGAACTGTTCCGGTACAAATATGCTGAATTCTGTCCGATAATTGCCTGAACACGACCACTACAATCGTTTCGTATCGTGTCATTTGTAATTTTTCTGCTGTCACCGTTAGAGACAGGAGTTATATATCTATATTAGAGGTAAATCGAGACAAATTTAATAAATGCGATTTAATCGGAAATTTCTTTCGCGCGAATAGCTGAGTCGAGGATTTGACTCCGATTCAAGATTGTACGCTTGAGAGTAAGAGAATAAGAGTTAGAGAATGGCGGAAGAAACAAAGAAGCTGAAAATCTCCTGATATAGATTGCTGCACGGGAAAGAGCACAATAGTGACAATTGCGATATTGCTTTAGACCGAGTTATGCAGCGGGAAATTATGAAGAGTATCACGATTGTCATTGAAAAATTCTTCAAGTCTGGTGAACTGGTAATTGTATGTCATATCATATCCATGAAATTTGTTTTATGTCAACTGCGGTTACGTGACCATAAAAAAATATTAAATTATTCCTTCGTGAATCTTCGTGTTACGTACGCAATTCTGCTTATATTACCGTAAATCTGGCTCATATCTCGTTTCGGTTAACCGTTTCTTGTGTTTAACCAGATTAAACGCGCAATACGTTTGCTTCATATCCGCGCAATTGCGAGTGTTGCACTTTTAAGACTCATCTCCCGTTTCTTGCATTAGTGAATTTCTCCGCACCAGTAGATAAAATCACGTCATAACGATATTCAAAAGTTGAGCGCTCTCCGAGCTGTAGTAATAATTGTTCATAGCGAAAATTTCCGCGCTCCTCTGTTCGGAGGCGGACGATCTTCTTTATCTCGACGACGCCGACGGTGCGGCACAGTCGGTTATCGCAGAAGAAAACGCATGCGGCAACTGCTCCACCTCGAGATTTTCCCCGGGCTGAGAGACGCGGAAAAACATTCTTACAAAGAAACTCATCGTCTTGCAGCTGCAGGTAACGTCGCCGGTCTGCTGCGGTGCCTCCCCAAGATAATGTTAATATCCAGCTCGGTTTTGTAATTGGCAATTATTTTAGCTTAGTCCGCTCTTTGTTCTCCGACGTTATCCCGGCGACGGTGCTCGCCCGGATTCCCCGAAGAATCCTCGAATGTGCCTGCAGCTGCGCCCTTTACGCAATCACTTCGAGGCTAAGCCGCCGTCGCCGACTCGTATCCCCGGGGCGGCCTGGAACTTCTCTTTAACGCGAAACGTACGTCCCATTTTCCGTTGAATCTCTTACTGCCAACAGACGCCGAGAAAATTCGGGATCAGGATTTTCCAGGCGACTCTCTTCTTCCGCCGTCGAGACTTACGGTAACGGGACGAATATTTTCGCGGACGTTATCGCGAACGGCCGCGCCGCGTTCGTTGCGAGCGACGCGTGTCCACCCACAAGGAAGACGGATAGTCAAAAGCGGCATCGAGATCACGGCCACGAGATGGGCGCGTTTTAACGGTAAATGCGAGGCGTGGCTTCCGGGACTTTCAACGTTACGGCGTGCGTTATCGAGGACAGGCATAAATCCTGAGCCTCGACTGGCCGCGAATGAGCGCGTGGAAACGCGCGTACACCCCTGGATCTCTGTCTATTTCTCTCTCTCTCTCTCTCTCTCTCTTTCTCTCTCTCTCTCTCTCTCTCTCTCTCTCTCTCTCTCTCTTTCTCTCTCTCTCCCCCTCTGCAGCGTACGCGCGCACAAAAGCGAAAGGTTATTAACGATCCTAGATTAAACCCGATAACACGCCGCGGCGGTATCTTTTGGCTCATGGCGATGCACGAGGTGCCCTTTGCCGGCGCCGCGCACACCATCCGGCCGCTTCCCTCGTTATCCATTTTCGCCGTTAACGTTTAATGCATTCCCCGAGCGGGACTGGCGCGCACCCCGTGTGCCAGTCGCAAGGCCTTGGCTCCACAAATTTTGCAAAACACACCGATATAAATCGTTTGATAACGCGCATGGCCCTGGGCGTCGATATATACAACGCGCGGGAGTCGACGGCAGGCAGGTGGAGCAGGGTACGGAGAATACGGGAAAAGGGAAAGAGAGAAAGAGGATGGGTCAGCTGGAAATTTGGCGATACGCCAGGCGGCACCGACGCGACGACGCTACGAAGTGCGCATTCCCGCACCAGCCGGTGCATCGCGTCGCCCGGCCGACCGAACGTGTCGGATGACGTAGCCGATATCGCTAATTGCAAAAACTACCGCCACGGAACATCGCCCGCAGTATCCACATCGTACTTTTTAACCCGCGCTAACCCGTGCGCGTCGCGTCCGGTCCGGTTTGGAATTCGATGCTATCGCGGGTAATTTAGACGTTTCTTTTAACGCGAAACCGCAGCACCAGCAATGTCGCTCGTGTCGATGTGCAGAATTTCACACGAAAACTTTTCTAATATCCATTCACGCCGGCCCGTTAGACATGGTTTCCAACTGACAGGGCTATATGTACTCGACGATATAACGTATGAATATTTTGGCGTTACTTTCAATTAATATGGATATAAAAAAGAAAAACAGAGAGAGAGAAAGAACTGTACGAATATATAATAAAAAGATTTAAAAAATTTCAGCCAGTAAAAATTCATACCGCACACACAGTGAGATAGAAAAATATGAAAGTATCGTAAAATGTATCGGACTTATTCAAACGAATAATAATACATTTTTTAAGGGAATATTAAATAAAATATAGAATCGTGACTGAAAGATATCAAAATTAATTCATTCAAATAAATTCACGCTCGTTACATTCACTATGAATTTTAATCTTTGCAGAAATGGCAAAAAATCCGCGGTGAGGCTTCGTCAAGAAAACGTTTCCAAGGTCTGTGCAGCGGTGCGGACACTTACGACAATTAAGCATTTCTCCTACAGGATCCACAAACTTTCCGAGAAAAAAACTAAATAAATAGAGAACCGCGGTAGTTCGTCTTGCACGGAGCTGGCCGCGAAGGACGGGGTCGATGTGGATACGCGCGGCGCGGCGCGGCGGTTGGTAGTGCCAGGGAGCTTGTGCAAACACAAAAGCTCACGGCTGAAGATAAACAGTGAGACTGTAAGCTGCAACATACCTTCGGGCATTGCGCGGTAGGTAGGATAGAGGAAGAGCCGTAGAAGGAGAGAAATACACGGACGTTGTGAGCTCCTTTCGAGGAAACCGGAAGAGGCGGGGAGGGGAAGTAAGACGCACACGGAGAAAGCCCTGGCGAAAAGAGCCACCTATAACGTTGACACCTATACCTAACAGCCGAAGGCACCCCGCCTCTTCCGTGAGAAGGTCCTCTGTAAACTTACGACATTAAACCGTCTGCGGAATAAACTCTCGTCTTAACAGCGAAAGTATACATGACGTAATTTACTTTGTTTCTTTGCTGCGGCTCGCGCGCGACTTTTGCGTAACGCAGGAATGCCTGCAACATTCGTCATGAATCTTTCCAAGTTTTAAATTTGCACCCATATTCCAGACTGCGAATTTTCGCAGTTCTTGAACGGAATTGTCGAATAAAAACGTCGCTCGTAAAGCATAGATGAAAGTTGCGATTGCGCTTCATCACGCTTTAACACGCAATACGCCAATACGTAATAAAATTTAAATTATATAACATTAATAACATGCATGCATAATCTGTTAATAAAATGAGTAGGACATTTAATAGATATGAACCAATTTTGATGTAGCTACTATGTCATGCAATGTTTAAATATCTTTGCATCTTACCTGTTGTTGTTTCCGTTGGATAGATCAGAAATCGTCCTGCAACAAACACAAATATTGCTTAATTATTATTAAATTAATTATTATTAATATAACTAATAATGAATGCAATTATGCCATTTCACTGGATTGGAAATAATAACGTAATTAAATTTATTAACCGAGCTGACTTTCCGTTTTAATAATACAATATATGAAACAAACGAAATATGATATTAACTGTAAATTGTATTATTTCTAACGCGCTTCATCATGTTTAGTATGATATGACTTTAGAAAATATATTTACCATTTTAATATATATATTTACAGTTTTCTTTTTTTTTATTTTAACGGAGCAATTAAAATACCTTCGATAGAATATCTTCGAAAACAATAATGGGTAAAAGTATATTTTGTATAGCAGCTAATCTAGCTTGCAGTCTTAACTTGTAACTGGGTTAGTGGACGCGTGCTCATCGCCCGTGACAGAGGTTTGCACTTCAAAACTACGTGACGTGGCTTACGTTCGTGTTGCGTATTCTCGGAAAAGTGACGCGTTGGTCATTACTTGCAGCCACGAGTACTCGATGGGGAATAATTAATTCAAGCAATGTCATTAAAAGTACAGCGAAAGTTAAAGCGCGCTAAATGACACGTTTATCTCGATAAGCTTGTCAAAACGACACTCTCGCCGCGATAAAAATGACTCGTAGATTGGATGAACGCGCAATTATGAAATTGAATAAAACATATGACCTCATTAAAGAGATATGAGAGAGTGAGTCGTTTGTACACCTGGTCCTTTTCGTTTTTGCAACGAGGTAAAATAATTAACGACAAATAATCAATAGGTATGCGGATGGAAATGAAATAAAAAGGAATACGGTAATATAGCTTTTATACACAGCACACAGCTGATAGTCGCAACGATTACCCATCGAATTTATCACGAACGTATCTCTCGAGACCTGCATGTGTCGGGTTCGTGTATATAATTTATTATCACTTCGCGTTACTAAAAATGCCTTTACTGATTCATTCGCAGACGCATAAAAACCACGCCGTCATACATTACTCCATGGAGACTCTTGTATCCACTTTACGCACACACAATCAACTCCCCGCTATAAAGCGGACCTCAACCTGGCAATATTTTTCCCTCCACTTTTGCGTTTCACAACTTTGAGCATGAATATAAAAGGCAGCAGGAAGTCTCGGGAACTTCATCACTATATTCTTTCATCAACTTGTTATCTCATCAAACATTTTACGACATTCTGTTTCGGTAATCAATTTTTCTACATTATTTTTCGCAAACTTACCGCATATTTAAAGGTCGAACGTAATTACGACAGGTTTTTGCTATCGCAGTTTCGATATTCGGGACCCCTAACTGGAATATCTCCCTAGCCCTCATTTCACTATGATTACATGACTTCATGGACGAAGTTTCTGTTATTGTGTGTGAAGTGGCGTGTACGGATATAAATAAATTTTGTTCGTAGCATTCAGTGGGGCCAAGAAGTCTAAAGCTAACTGAAGTTGTACCGAGTTTGAAACTTGCTCCACGAAGCACAGAAGCAGTAAGATCTTGCACAATGCGTTACAGGGTGTAGGGCTCCCTTGTTAAAGATTAGTACGATTCTAGAAAAGCTCTTCGAGAGTGAATGAAAGACACGAACGGGGATATTGTTTTCTTGTCGCGTGCTTCGAACTAACTTTGAGTGGGTAACAGAGATATAGCCGAGTAGAAGCAAGATATCGCTAAAGAGTGAGCCATTCTAAGATCAATAAAAGAGAGTTAATTCTAATCAAGAGTAGGAGTACACTGAAGTAATAATGTTACAAAAGAAAAGACGTACGCGTTACAATTACGTTTGAAACTTGCGCATATTCATGCTGATGACATTTTCACACTTGGATCGGAATAGCGGAGGATTGTAATAAATATAACGATCCGATTATGTGAGATCGTTATAAAACATTTGTTCTTATAACTGTTTCTTGAGGAAAATTTTTACGTTGATATAAATTAGACAAATTGAAATAGGCGTTATTAATAGCGTTTTATAATTACAACCTTAATACTTTTCGATTACTAAATAAAAAGGTATTGCGATCTTTCCACCAAAAAGACATTATAATCCTTTCTGAAAATTAATAAAATAAATAATAAAATCTGTATATCTTGCAGAAAAATAAAATATTGAAAGATCATAATTTAATGTTATAAAATATTTATGATTTGTGTAAAATTTGTAAACATCTGTGCAATGATCTGTGCGTGAATTTTTAAATTGATATTACTTTATTATATTAATTATATCATAAATTATTTATGCAGATATTCCAAAATGTTTTTATGTTTATCGTAATTTTTGTATAGTTATAATAAATAATTAATAACGTTTTCATTTGATAAATGTATGCATACATGGTTATTTTGAAAAGAATAATTAATGTTGATATACATTTTGCAACAAGAGCATTGACCGTCGCCTGTAATTACGAATACAAACGCTCCATTTATTTTTATCCATTACGTTAAACGCGTACGTCTTTTTCTGCTGATGCGGCGCGTGCTGCAAACGGGTGCAAATCACCCTGTTAGAGCGATTAATTGGGTCAAAATCATTATCGGTCTCTCCGCTGATATAATTAATGATCGCGACTTTGAGCAGTTAACTTCAATTACTGGATCTATGCACCGCATTCATTATTGCACTTACTAACTGTACACACACACACGTTTAGACATAATCTCATTAATACTAGAAGATGACGTTAGAGTTACAGCGCATTTATTTAAGCTACTCCGTGTAATTCTAGAGATATAACTTGTAGGATCATATCCGTGATAATGATCTTACAGCTTACGTGAGATAACATGGCAAAAGAGAGAATTCAAAAAGGAACTGGACGAAAGTATCAGAGAGAAATTATTTTTAAATAAAGTTCAGTTTTACCCATGCTATTAGCATTTAACCGATATGATTTTATTCGATACATAAACATCTGTGAGGTATAAATTTGAAATTATTGTATTATTAAATTTTTTTCGCATATAAATAAAAATGAATCAATACATAAATCTCTTATGTTACAATGTGCGGTTGTGTAGAACAAATTTGTTTCTCGGGGAAAGCATATAGCATATACATATACATATATGTTTCAGAATTTAATAAAGCTAGAATAGCACACGAGAGCAATATAAAACAATCGGAATAAAATAATTTTCTACCAGCTAGCTCTGGGAAATTTCATGGAATGGTAGGTTACCGATACACGGAATACGTACGAGATACGCGCATTAAGAGATCAATATTTGATGTTGCGACGATCAATAAATGAACGCATTGTTTTCTGAAACGTATTTTCATGTTTGTTTCGCAGCTCGTTGAGTTTGTGAGCGTTTTATCGTTAATGGAAGCGCGAGAAATTTGAGCTGGCACGTTTTCATGCGCATATATCAATGAGCATAAGGTATCTCTCAGCTAAGTCTGTCGTATCGACAGAAAGAATTCCGTTCAGGTTGCATTCGGACGGCATTTACGTGCAAAGCGTACGCGTTCATCATTCTTCTCGGAGTTTCTCGTATCGTCCCCCGTCTTACGTTGATGTAGTCAGAAGGCAGCGTGTTCTACACACAAAACAACCTTGTCCCGGCAACATTCCGGCGCACGTACACCCCCCGGCCCCGGTACGATACCCCTTTACCAGGAGCTCGACGAGGAACGCGAATGCTGGGTTTCGTTCGCAGTGGAAAGGCTGGAAGAGGGGTTGGGTCTCCAACAACTTGAACAACTTCACAATAGCCCCGGCCTTTGCACGCCACTCGCGAAATAAACTTTACCCGCGTAACTTTAAAATTGATGATCGTGTCGCCGACACATGTAAGAGCGTCCGAGAGAGAAATATACGATGTCCGTCAATGACAGTTTATCGACGTGGCTTTATGCATACCCAGCATATACGTTGATGATCGACTAATCGCTATTATC